GTTCATGGCAAACGGTAGTTTATACACACACTGTGGCAGTTTTGATATGGTTGTTCTCGCAGTGACTGATGTAACCAGGCATACAAGCTGTGAGTCTACTTCAAGCGGCAAGTGTTCTGCACCTGAACCTACCTGAGTAGGTTGTGGGATGACTACAGACGGTGATATTTCTGCTTCGTTTTGTTTAAATATTTCACGCTGGATCAAACGATCTAGGGATTGACATCATGAGCATCGATCCACGCAACTGGGATACGATGACATGTATAAAGCAAGTCAGCGAACCTGACCACACGATCACGTAAGTCGCCTCTTACGACAAACACAGTACTCTTTTACGGCAACCATGGGTTCCTGAAGACCTGTTCTACCCTGGATCTTCATTATGTGCTTGCGAGTATTAACTAACACGGTGATCTCGGCAGGTGTGTAGAGTCATGTTCATTTGCGTAACAATTGGAACCCGGTGGCACCCGTCACAAACACATGCAAAGGCAATTCAATCGTTTCACCCGAAAATAATACGGGAACAAGTGAACATAGGGAACAGTATCGGGTATCAATTTGGAAATGCCCTCCACGTGTCTACCATAAAATTCCTTGAATGATTTACTGACGCTTTGGAAGTTATCGTGAGTGAGTAAGTTTGAACAGTGTTCGAGTCATATCACGGCTGGTCAGCTTAATGTGGAAGGAAAGCCCTACTTAAAGCAGGTCTCAGACGTAAATCACATCGGTGGAAATAACGAGCACGGGTATGGTGCTGACAAACCTTGAAACATAATCAGGGAGAAGTTGGATTCAAACCCACGGTCTTCGGGTGGGCCTAACTCTCTACAGCGAATTGTAGCGCGTTAGACGACTGAACAACCCGTTTCCTTTTGAATGTTGTAAGCTCGTTCAAAACACTATTGAACAAGAATCATAATATTCTCTTTGAAATGTTCGTAGAAAGAAACCGCCTCCGCTGTCTAGTGATAGAGCGTCCGCCCGGAGAGCGGAAGGTCCAGGGTTCGATCCCGGGCCGCGTCATACAAAAAGACGTTAAAAGACGGTACTAGTTGTTACCCTGTGTGGCGCTCGGCAATAAGGGGCTAAAACAAGGACTGGTCGGCTTCGAGTCAGTGTACTGTGTCTGAGTGGGGTATTCATGTTAAACTGAGGTACGGTATCTCAGTGGGCTAGCACTATAAATCGGCATCAGTCCGGACTACAACAAGCACGTCGCTATATAAGTGCAATAATCCTTGACGCGACGTTAAACCCCATTTCACCCCACCTCGTAGAAAGACTATACTGGAATGTACCTCAAAGGTATATCAAATGTAGACAGACAGCTGTTGGAATATTGCTCAAAGTAACTGGAAAGTTTACTGTTAGAAAATTGACATCATCCTTCTTGTCATGCAGTCTTGTAAATAGCGTCTGTCACTCTGAATATGTATGTAAATATCTAGTTATGAAGCTGATATACCTGCAGATAAACCTGCAGTTACACATCATGGCCAATGCCACTGTTTCTTTTTGCCAATATGAGCAGAAATTCTGATTCTATTTTCGCGTGAGCGATTGCCTTGCCTTTTGTGTATCATTATAAACTTGACGGTGAATAAGTTAATTCTCTTTAACATCATATTTAAAAACAGTCACGTTTTATCCAGATAAATCCGAGAAGTAAATATTGAAGACTATGTGATCTCTATGAACACATGTAAAGGACTGATAGCACTGCAAGCAGAGAAGGTAGTTAACTACATCAGTCATATCATCACCTCTACTGTGTTAGAGAGTTAAGATATTATAACTAAAGAAAAACGTTTAAGAAATGTCTTCGTTTTGAAAACAAAAATGCGTTGAAGCGTTGTGTCAGGCTCCGTTAATATTTTACACTGGACAGCTCTGATCATCTGCTTACTCAAGTCTTTAGTGATACACTAATCACCCATCAATTATCTATTGGCTTCCCTTGTTATCGTATTACTTTTGTTGTTTCTTACAGGTAAATATATATATATATATATATATATATATATATATATATATATATATATACATATGTGTGTGTGTGTGTGTGTGTGTGTGTGTGTGTGTGTGTGTGTGTGTGTCACAGTATGTATTCACCTGGTAAAGGAGTAAGCATATACTCGATACGTTGTGGTCCTCATAACATAGAAATTTCCAGCTATATATTATCTTCCGCATCTGCTTACTGATTGTAATAGCAATACACTAAGGTGTTGTCAACGCAAACATCACTTTATTCCTTTGAAGGCTGAATAGGTATATACTGATGGTAAAAGTGGAACAACGCGTTAATGTGTTTGCACTTAATTACTTTCATGCGTTTCCCCTTTGTCATCTCCTTGCCACAATCCCCGCAATATCTTTCTTTTTTAAAGATCAATGTAGTAGTATGTCATATGTTTCACTATCTCCTGTGGGAGCCAGTTTTGGATGATAAATGTAGATATTGCATAAAGAGTGAGTTCACAAGTGAACAAGGTTATACGCAACAGTAAAGATATAAACGACAGGTATCACTGGCGATATAAACTGACGCCTGTGAACTGTAATGTTAAACGTGACAGTGTCCGTGCACAAATCACTATATGGAGAATGTCCACATATGACCGAGGTATTAATTCAAGTTCTGCCGACTCTCAGTGGCGACATTTTTCAGCACCAGGATCCCTATTACCACGTTGTGAATAGGGTACAAATTCAACATATTGTTAAGCACACCAGTCACTGCTGTGAAATTTCCATATAGGCCCCTTTAGATTAATTCAATGAAACTTGAAAGCTCATTTCAAACTGGATCTTTTTTTTAAATGTTAATATGTAATCAAATGTCAATCTATTCTATGATGTCAAACATGCGTCTTTATTTCAGGAAAAAGAAAAAGAAATAAATTGTGATTGAATACATTGTATGAATGAAGGAAGGCAGTCAGTAAAGAAATGCAGCTTCTCTCCAGATATAGGGAAATGAAGTCTGTGCCCGAGATGACGGATTGTAGCTCGTCAAAGAATATGACGACAAATCTGCTCTACCGCTATAGGTTAAATAAAGAGGGTACACAATACTAAACCAGATCTTGATGGGCAGAAAAAGGTGACGAGGAGAGAGCTATCTATACAATGATTTATAGTCATTTAATTAATTATCGCCCACATCTAAGTTATGGCCATTAACAAAGATATATGTGTGATACGGATACAGAAAGAGTCGTATCAAAACATTAAAATTACACCTTTAATTTCAAAGCAAATGTAAACGTACTTTCGAATGTCTAACATGTGTCCTTATTTCAGAGAAAATATAATCAAACTACAATCCCCACCAATGAAACATAAGTTGATACTGGTCTCCATTATGTTTAGTTCAGGTGGGTAGATCAGTTGAAGGGAATTGGCTATTTGATGGTTATTGAACGATATCAGATAATCAATATACCTCAAGCTTTAGTTATACTTCTTGGCCAAATTACCTTGTTTTGACTTTGCAGAAATTCCGATGCATATGAATATGGAACTAAACAAAACACAAACCATATTACATGCAGCTGTTTACACATATAACAAAGACAACAAGCATCACCCATTCAATCTGAGCAGGATACATTGAACTGTTCATTGCTTGAAAAATCATTTCTGTTAGTTCAGCACATATCAAATAATTGCCACAGTGTAGGGCATGAGAATCTGATGAATGCACTTTTGCACATTAGTCCTGACATCTAGCGACTACTACACGAGAGTTTGCCGTGTTCTATTAATCATAAAACGTGTAACGAGCGAAATCGATGGGGGCCAGTTTTTGGGGGTAGAGTCATCTTTTTCTTTTTAACAGATTTGTTTATGCCGCACTGTTTCGCACTGTTCACTAAAACATAATAACTGTAGGTGTAGGTGATCTTAAAACAGAACAATGCAAATAGGAGTGTAATAAAGCTTTTTGGGATAATAAAAGACCTGATGTAAGATCCGGCGACGTAAGGAGGTATTAATGGACATGTATAGATGTTAACAGACGGCTCTGGGGATTGAGGGTCCTGACAGGAGGAAGCTTATGGCACAGGGGACATGCCGAATGTTTGCTGCAGACCTTCTGTGAACTTGGAGACATTCAAACTATTAGGTATTTTGGATAAATGAAGTTTTACAAAACAAATTGTTTGTTTGTCTGTTTGTTGTTGCACCCAGCAACATTCCAGCTATATGACGGCGGTCTGTAAATAATCGAGTCTGGACCAGACAATCCAGTGATTGATATCATGATCATCGATCCACGCAATTGGGATAGATGGCATGCATCAACCAAGTCAGCGAGCCTGACCACCCGATACCGTTAGTCGCCTCTTACGACAAGCATAGTCGCCTTTTACCGCAAGCATGGGTTGCTGAAGACCTATTCAAGTGGTTTGCACTATAACAATAATCATGAACGTCGTGGAGCGCTTGTCCTGAAAAGGCATTATAAAAATAGCTACAATGCATTTTTCCAGTCACAAAGACTAAGTGTCGCAAGTATCTTACAGCAGACATGCCTGAGCTGCGAGGTGAAAGTGATATAACTTGCCCGACGAAGGTAAGATATGTCTTTGTATGCAAATATTGAATTGTACGTACATTTCTGTATTCTACAACAGAAACTGCTCTAAATACCGTGCCCATGTCACGAAATTTCTATAAAGTCTTCACTTTATTTCAGAATTATCCTACTTTTAGTGTCAAGGACTGTTTCATCTGGGCTGTGTCTGTGTTGCACCACTCCTCACATATAGATTGTATAACCAAACAGTTCAAAATACTGAATACTAATGTTTTCATTCACGTTTAATTTACAGTTGTTGAATTATTTTGAAAAGCTGAAAAATGTGCATTAAATCCAACAAACTCTTCCTGCGAACTTGATTTTTTAAATAGATTTTTTCACTTAATTTCGTTTTTAGTTCATCAAGAATGGACGTTGGTAATTTCTCGTGATATATTGATACACTTATCATGAATTGATAAAAGAAAGACGGCACGCAATCAGAAAAGGCACCAACATCTGAATCGTCAACGAGTATAAAACGGAAAGGTGAGATTGCGTTAATGTATATAAGAGTGACAACACCCTCTCCATAATCATAAGACATTACGATTCGGACTGTATCATAAGCATGTGTTTATCAATTATTATCAAATAGTGATGATACCAGATGTTCGCGAAATCCTACCCCGCTGGTTGTACAGCTCACAAACACACGCAAAGGCAAGTCAACTGTTCAACTGAACAGGGATTGTGGCGTTACTATTTCATCAGTGACAAAAATTATGTCCCCTAATTTGACTTGTACCATATGTTACCCTATTTGTTCAGGTGGACACTTGAATACCCTTTGGATTTGTTGTGAGACTGACTTATCTGACGCACAAACCCCTTTACATTTATAATCTCAATACATGGAGTGTATGCCTTGACAACTGGGTTCAATGACAAAGAAGAAAATACATGGATATGTTTAAGAGAATGGGCATGCACAGCTTTCCCTGTGGACAAGTTAGACACAATTTTATTGATAACAACTTCTTTAATACTATAAAAAGCGACGTTTCCCGTATAAATCCTTGCTTGACAACGAAATAAGGATCTATACCGAAACGTCGCCTTTTACAGTTGTTATGCATACAATTGTGTCTACCTTGTCATCTGTCAACTTCTAAGTAATGCCTATCAAACATGTTTTACCCTGTGGAGTGTGGTGTACAGCTGAGACGTGGAGCCTCCTTAAAGTTGTGTGACCTAAGGGGTCAACTGGACGTCACTCATTCATGTAAAGTTGACAAACACTTAACACAATGTCACACTTGGATTCGGACATGACACAAATGCAGATTCACTGACAATGATGAGTGTACGGTCCAGAGAGCTAAACCAACCACAAGAACAGCAGGGCACAGGTCAAATGCACAATGTATTTACAACAACGTGTACCTGTTTATAATGAATCATACTTAGAAAGAGACTGACATTTTCGTTATCACTGAAACTGTATTATATTAATAACCAATATAGAGCTGATTATTTTTAGCGTGAATGAATTCAGAATCAGTATTAAGGTGTGTGTGGCTATGTGTTTATTCTTTAACGCTGCGTTCGACCCGCGCAGATCCGGGGTAGAATAGGTCTTCAGCAACCCATGCTTGCCGTAAAAGGCGAATATGCATGTCGTAAAAGGCGACTGACGGGATCGGGTGGTCAGGCTCGCTGACTTGGTTGATGCATGTTACCGGTCCCAATTGGCGTGGATCGATGCTCATGATATCAATCACTGGATTATCTGGTCCAGACTCGATTATTTTACAGACCGCCGTCATATAGCTGGAATATTGCTGAGTGCGGCGTAAAACAACCAACCAACCAACCAACTAACGCTGCGTTCAGCAATAGTCCAGCTTTATGGCAGCGCCTGTAAATAATCGAGTCTGAACCAGTCAATCTATTGAAAAACGATCGACGCTGTTTGTGAACGCTAACAGCCATTTCACCGAGCCTGACCACCCGATCCATTAAGTCGCTTCTAATGACAAGATGTTTCTAGGGACTAATTCTGATCCGGATTCCACACGGCTTCTTAATTTAAGTCACCTTTTACGACAAGCAATAGGATGCTGGTGACACATTCTACCCTGAGTGAGTGAGTTAATATTTTACATCCCATCGGCAATATTTCAGCCATATCGTGACTTGAACAAGTTTTGCATTTATATTGTATATAAAAAAAACTGTCACCGAAGGACAGTACAACAACGAGCAGTATATCACAGATTATAATTGTAAAACTAGTTTTAGAACTATAAAATGATCAGATTATGACAGACGACACATTACAAAAACAGGCTAGAGATCACCAACAGTTAAAGTTAGGTCACGATACCAGGGACGATTGGGACTTACAGTACCTGTGCTACCTGCACGGTGCTCTTCGTCACCACGGGACATTATTAAGGATCCTTCAAATGAATCAGCCTCTTTCAAAAACAGTTTTATTACATTTCATAAATTTGCAAATAAACCAAACAGCGCCACATGGGGATGCATTAAGGTTTTGTCTGAATTTGACCATCGACGCCGCAATTGTTTTTGGAACCACACAGCACACGGACATCCCGTTGATATCATATCTCCTTTAAAGCAAAGTTGAGTTGGGGTGAAATGGGGTTTAACGTCGCGTCTAAGATTATTGCACTTATATAGCGACGTGCATGTACGTGTGTGTGTTTGTGTGGCTGCTTGTACTTGTCCGGACTGATGCCGATTTATAGTGCTAGCTCACTGAGATACCATGCCGTAGTTTAACATGAATACCCCACTCAGACACAGTGTACTGACTCCAAGCCGACCAGTCCTTGTTTTTGCCCCTTAATGCCGAGCGCCAGACAGGGTAACAACAAGTACCATCTTTTAACGTCTTTTGGTATGACGCGGCCGGGGATCGAAACCCGGACCTTCCGCTCTCCGGGCGGACGCTCTACCACTAGACCACGGTCTTAAAGCAAAGGGGAAATATGTTTGATACAATGAGCATTCTTTCAAAATGCCAAGGCCAACGAAGTGATCTTAATAAGTATTTACTCTACGTTAGTACAATTAGGTCATCCTTTGGTGTGGTGGCGCGATCTCAAAAGGTTGTGAGTGACCTGCTTATAAGGTCAAGGTCATTCGTAAAGTTTGTCATTTTCACTTAATTACATTTTCTGCCTATAACGCTTATATGAACCATACCATTTCAACAAAACTTGAATGAAACAATGTACAAGTCATTTCATGAGTGACCTTAAAAGCGTCTTTGATATTTGACACAATCATTACAAGTGTTCAGTTAGTTCATCATCCCTGATCGGAAATATCTGATGTTTCATGAATCTTTCAGAAATTTCAGGACATTTGAGCTATTCATCAGGTTGACCAAATTCTATTAAAAGATTCTTGTTATGGTGTACACAAACATTTTTTGCCCTTGTTCATACTGACTAGCCTTGACCTTCAGGTCGCCCAATCACACACACACACATTATTTTTTTGCAAATGTAGGTTGTGTTTCAAATATGAAGCATCCATCCCAAAATGCAAATACTTCCTGAATGAAAACTATTTACAATAAACAAAACCCTTTCCTTGATATATGATGTAACTGTTAACATATAGAATAGTATATCGACACATGGCATGACACTGAGACAGACTATAAACAATGAGTGCAATGTCGGTTAAATTGCAGGATTGTGTATATGCTTACATTCGGACTGAACTTATTTATACCTATTTTATGCAATAAGTTATACTGACGCATATGTTGCAATGCATATAATAACAGAAATGTATAAAGTCTAACCTTTGAGTTTGGTATTGTTTAAATGTGTGTGAAACTACTTGGTAATATGGCGGAAAAATATGGAAAAAAATCAACCCGAGCATATTTCAAAAGCTATATAAATCAAGTGCTGGGGTGTCATGACTGACAAAATGACCTCGGACAAATCGGACTGTGATCTGTTAGAGCAATCCTGGCAATAAGAAACCAACACCATTGTCAGCTGAGGTTAGACTATAATAAAAATATTGTAGCACAAACACCGGTGATGTTTTCACCCAAACATAATATCCCTAATATGTTGCAGACTTCATTCGACGCGTTTCCGCACAACAATGTGACTTTAAGTCTCCATATGACATTCGTAGCCCAAAGGGTCAGAAGTGAGTAAACTCTCTACGAGCCCTGGTGACGGCTTCCACCATGCGTCTCATCCAAACAGTCCGGCTTCGGGTCTGCTGAACAGGCAACAACAGCAACTCCCGATGTAGCTCCCGCTGCTTCCAATTGACGCAAATTGTGTACAGTAAGCTCCAGTGCCTCCAGTACATGTCCTAAATGTGCGCCAGCGGATTCAGATGTGGACTCTGGTGGTAGGCTCTCCCTTTGGCATCATCCTACCTGATCTGTGTTTTGTACCAAGTGGGCGGGTGGTTGTCGAAATGGGGGACACAACCGGTTCCAGGAGGTTGCCTGGTGTGATGATCAGGTTCAGCCTGCTGAGCCTCCTCCATACGGGGCAGTTGGCCTGACGTTACTGGGTGTATAGGCCGCATTCCTGTCACTCCATGACATGGAACAGGAATCTCCTCCACCAGGTTTTCAGTACCGTCCTGGTAAACACCAGGCCAAAAGGAAATTTTGATGGTAATCGTGAAATTAGGGGCGTTTAATGACTATCTTGGACATCATTACTACTGCTCTCAAGCGATTCCTGAAGCTTCAGGTGGACAGACGTCGTTTGGGTAGCCAGTGTCATTAGGACTGGGTTCGTTGCAAATGGATGTGGCTGTACGTATCGGAGCAGCGTCCTCACCAATAGCCTGATTAATGTATAATGATAGCCCAGTTTACACCAAAAGCTTTCGACAACCTTGTGGAATGCAGCCTGTGGGATGTGGGATGTTGTCCCAAAAGTCAACCAAAGATGTCCAGCCAAAGCTAGCGTTAATAGCAGGTTCTTGTCCTGTCGCAGGCGTCGTTCATATCTTATCAGAGACGTGTTCTATGAGGTAGAGGTATCTAGTAACGGTCGGCCGTTTCAGTACAGCAATGTTGTTCTGCCTCAAATAGTGTGTTACAACACATGCAACATGTGGGCGTGCTGCAAGGTGATGTTACGTCCCTGATTTTTGCATAAAGCGTAGAACATGATCTCGAACAATGTGGTCCCGGAAGCGTACACCATTGGAATTTCATTTGAGAGTAATGAGTCATGTTCCTTCATGACTTGTGATGCCACCCCTTATTCTTGTATTATTATTGAATTTTATATGAAGCACAGTTACTTTTTCCCGTTGGTATATACCCTACATTCCCCCTGCGTACCAATGACACTTTTAGTTTTCAATTGTTAAGTTTAACACAATATAATTATGTTTACCTTCTCAAAGCAAGGACTTTCTTTTGAACATGACACCTGCAAGAAAGTGTTTGAAGCGCCTTGATTAATATTATTCCTAGGTTTTTGTTAATCCTATTTTTAGATGAATAAATGGCAACTTCCATAAGCGTGTGATTCCTTTTGACACCTATTTGACCCTACATTACATGGCGAATGCATTGAAGCATTGATACATGGATCGTGATTCCCAAACCAAAGAGAGAGTAGCACAGAGGGAGGGAGTGTCTGCAAGCCTACAATCGTCAGGAGAAACGAATGAAGGAGCGTCGGCTCTCGTCAACAAAAGAACGCTGTCCCTACTCATATTTGCAAAGCTATGTATCGATATGTTGATATGGATGAAACAAATTCCGTTCAAAGCCCCAGACATTCTTGTAAGGTGGGCCAAACAAACAAATCTGAATCCAGTTGCTCAGTGTCATATTATTCTGATGCACAGAACACTTGTCCTACAGTCAACCCTATGTCTCAACGAGAGTCTGTAACTTTTGTGATGAGCCAAAGTGAAAGGAATCCATCCCCTATGATACCCACAAGGCCTAATATGACTGAACGGATTATTGCTTCATATTGTATTTCTAAGCCAACATTGCGCACATTTCCTTCCGGAAAAGAAAGAGATGAAAGACAGTCTAATCAATTTGCACCCCACCTTTGCGAGCAATACAAGTATCAGGTATTAATTGGTCGATCGCGGGCAGAAGTTTACCTATATGATGTGAATCTGTTTACCAGTGCTACAAACATGGACAGTCACGGCAGCATAATCACATGCTCACTTAGTTAGTATTGATAAGTGTAGAGAATTCTAGTTATCTGGAAGCTTCCAAAAGGTGAATCATGTACGCGTTTGTTTGCCCTGTGGTGCTAAGATGTCGAATTGTTGAAAGGGAATCAGCAATGGTATTAATGCTTCCCAGGATGTGCCTTGATGAATAGATTCAATTCAAGACAAATAACGTTACCCATACCATAACCCAAGTGGAGTTAGAGGTGGACGTGTTTAGTATTGCCGCGATTCATGTGTCAGGTAAGACATGACTTGACTTGACTTTGAATATTATTGTGACGGGTGCCACCTTTTCGCGAACACTGGTATCATCACTATTTGATAGTGATTCATGAAAACATGCTCATGATATAGTCGGAATCGTACAACCGATTTACGCAGATATTTGTTATTGGATATGGAAAGGTTTTTTTCGCTCGATATAATTATGAAAAGGCGTTTCTTATTTTGAAGAGCTATCCTCCTCCAGATATGCATAGCCACGAGTAGTGAAACAAAAATTAAGAACAGTTGTGTTAAACATAATTTCATTCAAGTGACAATGATCTAAGCCATTATGTGCCCATATGCGATTCCCAGCGCGAATCCTCCTGTGCTATCTGTAAACTGTTGCAGGCGGTCGCGGACATACCACAAATCCTCTGGAAACAATAGGATACCGTTACGGTTTCTCAAAATATCTTATCAGTATCAGATCATGTTTGACGACATTGGTCACACGTAACTGATGATGTGACTTCTTTACTCCTTTGTAATGTCGTTAAAATGCTGGGAGAAAGGCCGCCGCACCACAAAGTTGACCAACTGATGAGTGATTGGATTTTTTTAAGCTGCACTTTTTGCTTTGTGAGAAACTGTTGGATTCAACTAAAGTGATGGTCGATTTTTTCCTGTGCTTTGCACATTTACCATTTTATAGTATCCATTTCTATATCTAAGAATGTCAGTTTAGTGTATTGTTGTATGGCCTCATTTTCGAGATGGGTGCACATTGTTTAAATGTTCAGAATGCTGTCTTGCAGGCATCATTACCTCTTTGGCCGCCAAAGAGAAAATCATCCAAATAGAGCTGTACCTGACCTGTGTTCGACCTTGGTGACGTAGCGCAGTCAATGAAGTAAGTATTTGTTTAAAAAATAGCACAACTTATTTCATAAACCATAGGGAGACAAATATCCACAAAATATTGGTTTTCGAAAGCTGTGTCTCCTGACTTGAATCAGTCAAAAGACACACTTTATGTCAGCCTAACGTAACAAGGCACCGCTTCCAAGCACCTGGATCATATGAATGGCAGCATCAAACCATGTATACTGAACCGAAACAGGATGTTAATCAATTAAGTCATTTATGGCATTATGTGCTCGAAACGATACATGCTGAATTAATCTACATTCCACTATCTCCTGTTTGGGTATTCAGTGTTAAGGCAAAATTTTCAGGTTTGGCAATAGCTTCATGGTGATGAGAATATCAGTTATGTTTGACAAACTTTATGTAAATAAATACGACTTAAACGTAACAAGTGCATCAGCTCCAAACCGCAGATCAAACCAACCCCATTGTATCATAACTGAGCACGAACAACCCTCCTCTTTACTGTTATAATATTTCAAAAATAGATAATACAATATGTGGCAAAGTCAAGGTATGTGTAATTATGTTTCATGAGGGTTAATGATTACTTAAGTCTTAAGATGGCCAGTTTCTTTTGTGTATTTGTTTGTCATTGTTAGGTGGGATCTAGTTTTGTTGAACTGTTTACTGAAAGACAACAAAATGATGCGAACCGATTAATCGAACCTCCCGTCGTCTGTAGTACCTAAATATATTATTGCAGCACTGGGACATATTTACAGGCTGCTGTAAATGTCACTCCTAAATGTAATAAATATTCTGATGAAGTACAGTAACATGTGAATGGACCGAACTAAATTCTAGTCAAATCTTGCAACATATAAAGTGATCATGGTGTTAACGTATTCAATTCCCGTCGTCTAGAGAGATCTAACTGTATGATTGCTGCATTGAAAATACTTTACAGGCTGCTGTAAACGCCACTCCTAGATTTAAGAGCTGTTGTCAGATATAACTTCTGTAACATCTTTGGATGCTTTCATGTCAAGTCTCGTACGTCTCAGACGACGACCATGTGCTGTAGCTTTCCTCAAAACAAAAAAAAACTCTGGAGAATGACGGAAGCCCCGCGTCCTGCTGCCACATATGAGACTAAGCTCCACAGTAGATGGGAGAACACTTAGAACCATTGATGACAATGTCGCTGTGTGCATAATTATGATGTTGTAATTACATCACCCTTCATCAAAAACATATTCTTTTCAATAAAAAGGTCGATAATAATAATGTAATATGAGCATATATTAAATATTGGCAACATCAACCACACAGACATACTACTTAATCAAAATAGTTTCTATTCCACTCCACAGTCATGAGCAAGTCTGAGATCCCCAGAAGACTAGATACACTAGGTGAGTTGGAACCAACGATACAATTATTTTAGTGGGCAAACTACTCTCCAGACATACACCAAATGTTGTCAGCACTGTAAAATGTTTCAGAAACATTCTTAGCATGTAAATACCTAAAAGTTAAAACACATAAATCAGCTCTTATCATTCCCTCTACAATCACCTTCTTGATGTCTGCCAAATAACAAGACTAAATATAAATGTCTACTGCCTTTCTATCATCATTGAAAGACGTGAAAAATGCAGCTGTAAGGTAAAGACCTCATTAATTTTGTGCTTCAGCAAAACGGAAAGCCGCACGTGATTACTCCCAGGCAGCCTACAAACTCCATCAAGCTAGCATGGAAGGGGATCTGGCAGCTGTGAATCGGATCCTGGCAGCAGGTCTGGTTGACATCAACAGTAGCAACATCGGCGGGAGGACGCCGTTGATGGAGGCAGCACGATGGGGACGTAGTGAAATAGTACAGTTTCTTGTGAGGAAAGGAGCTGATGTTTCGCTTGTGGACGATGACGGCAACAACACCCTTCACTGGGCTTGTGATGGAGGATATATGGAGACGGTGAAGTTTGTCCTCTCACAGAACATGGCGGAAATCAACGCTAGGAACGTGGATAGGGAGACAGCGGCCGACATGGCGAGATTCTGGGGATATCAGGAAGTAGTGGATCTCCTGGTGTCGAGTGTCGATCAGTGAAGTGATTGTAGTGTTTGTGTTGACATTGAAGAAGGACATGTTGTTACAGACATTGACGTTGCGTGTGCCGTTCACGTCCTCGAGTTTTCCATTGCAAACTTAGGTGAGATTGTTTGTTGTTTTTGAGGATCTCCATGCAGGTAGCAGATGTACTGTAAGATCCCATGGTCTCCAGTGTCGTCGCGTTACCTTGATTACTGGCAAGCTATACCATTTTTTACAGTGTCATGCTAGTTATAAATACAAATATGTGATACGCTTGTTATTTTACTGTCCACTGTCAATTTTGTTATCTAATAATGCCCCGTTCACAGGCACTTTTATATGTATGTGTATATTCGCATACGTGTGTAAATATAGGGACGTAAGTATACTTGTCATATGAACGCGTTTACTCATGTCCATCTATATAAACCAGGACCAAATTTGCCCATGTCTGGAGCAGGTGCAAATATAAATTTACTTATATGCAAATTTGGGCTGAAAATATGTTGTCATCTGAACGTAAATGCCAACGCAAAAGGACGATCTTATTCATATATATGTTGACTTGCCTACACCAAACAAATTGGCAACAGTTCTGTTGACGCCCCCGATGCCAGCAAACCCAGAGACTGTAGAGAAGAAATATATAGACCTTGTGAAGAAACATTATGTCTTCTGACATGTAAGCAGGGATAGACTTAACATAGGAATGCCTGTTTTCATAAACTTGTAAATGCTGTCATTATATGTCTGCAACTCTCCTGTGGAGGAATAAAGAAATATATATATATATATATCAGATGCGTTTAAATTGTCCTCCCAAGTTGACTCACGACCTTTGTCCAAAATTAGCCATTCCTTGTATTGCAACAAACCATGGTGATTGTTTACACGACAAACAATCTACCAGCTCGTGTATTGCAACAAACCATGGTGATTGTTTACACGACAAACAATCTACCAGCTCGTGTATTGCAACAAACCATGGCGATTGTTTACACGACAAACAATCTACCAGCTCGTGTATTGCAACAAACCATGGCGATTGAATACACGACAAATACTTTACCGGCTCGTGTATTGCAACAAATGATTAGGAACAAACGATATGAGTTAATGTTAAACAGGTAAGTAGCTTTTATGTATATCGTTTAAGTAGAGTGTTGTTTTTCAAATCAATTTGCAACCACGCGTGTTTCATGTTAGATGTAATTGCAGTTAATGTGGAGAACCATCAGCGTCCTCAGATCAAAGTTTGTACTCAAATCCACGACTATATAATTCTGGAACGCCCAAGTGACGCATCTCTGCACAGCGAATTGTTTCTCCTTGACGATTATGTCATCCGTTATCCAATAAAACAATAACTAGAAAGTGCCTTGGTTCAGTCAAATTAACTTTCTGAGTCAGCAGATCTACTTATTGGGACGTATTGGAACGCGTCATCTCAGATGACTGATGACAACGTATACATAATTACACCAGACGGCGGATTGATTGAAAAATAACACCACGTTAAAAGTATATTTCAAAACAACGTATAAGAGTAACGTGTATACATTGTCAACTTGTCTTTGTTACTTTCGTGATTCATGAGCATAAACATGTTGTTCTTTTTCTTCTTCCGTATGTCTCTCTTCATATAAATTCTAAACTCTAAAGGTCATGGTATACTGCCGACAAAGAGTAAGGGAACTCATTATTTGAACGAGCTATCGTTGAGGTGTACAGTTACAATACCACGGCGTTGCACCTGAGCCGAACATCTAACCACACACATGTCATGGACTGCACGTGCACAGACAAGTCAAAGTGAACAGATAAAATGGCGAGGGGGAAAATCAGCATCCCATGTTGCCTGAACGTTTGGAAAATCAAAAAGTGTAAGTTCTCGTCTGTGGTGAATTTTAACATCTATCGTTAAACACCAGCTCTATGTTGCCCGCCTGAAATTAAGGCGTCCTGTTGAGGGTGTGACCCTCACAACTTACTATAGTTGGCCCAAATTGGAGTGGGCTAGGCAAAACCAGCGACGGGTTGTGCGCCAAAGGCATTACACGATGTTTACAGACGAATCATGGTTTTGCCTCCGAAACACCGATGGCAGAACAAGTTGTTGGCGACGTAGCGGCGAGAGGCAGTCAGGGCAAAAATTCTTGACCATGATCGGTATTCGGGCGGCAGTGTCATGGTGTGGTGCGGTATCACCCATGACAGACGAACTGATTTGGTTATCATGAATGGACATTTGATTTGCCAGCCATATATTGCCGAAATTGTGCGTCCTGTCGTTGTCCATTCGCTTGAATCATCGGCTGAAATCTTGAAATGCTAAATGACAAAGCCAGAACACGTTGTGCCGAGAAGCCATATGGACATGAGACTGGCACGCTAAGTCCCCCGAAATGTTCTCAATAGAGCAGTTCAATATGTGAAGCCCAATTCTGGTGTCCCCTGCTGGGTTTATGCTGGAAGTCTTGTTTTGTTTGTTGCATGACGCCGCACTCAGCAATAGTCCAGCACTATGACAAATAAATAATCGGTAAATAATCGAGTTTGGACCAGACAAACCGGTGATTGACATCATGAGCATCGATCTATGTAAGTGGGAGACATGACATGCATCAACCAAATCGGCGAGTCTGGACACGCGATCCCGTTAGTCGCCTCTTACGACAAGCATAGTCGCCACTTAAGTAAAAAATATGTTGCTGTAGAAATTTTCACCTGGGTCCTAATACTCATAGAATCGCTAGCTTTTGTTCTACTACTTCAGTATAAGACAATATTGGTAGTAATTTTGCACACATTTAGACAGTATGTCACACGTACGGAATGATATTATGTAAATCTCCTACGAAATAGCAACAAAAATATATGAAAAAAATTGAATTGACTTACATTTTGTGATAATAAACATCGCAAGCTCTGACTTTCCTACATTGCTGCGCTCACACATAAATGACCTTACTCCACCGAACTTGCACAATGTGAAAATCAATTCTTATGTGAAGGGTTTATCGATTATGCCAAACAGCTACCCATCTCCACACTTTAAGTCAGTGGAAAGACGGGAAACACAGAGTAGCGAGATTAAAGCAAAGAAGTAGTTTGTTTTATTATGACAACATCCAGGCAATGTTGTGTAAACGCTGTGTCTTCACTGACTGTCTCTTCTTTAGCTGTGTCGCTTGGATAAACTACTATTTCCTTATAAGGAGGATCAGCAGCAAGCGCGGAGAACGTCTAGGAGATACGTCACTATAAACATCAAATTTGAAACGGTAGTGTTGCAGTTCTTGGCCACTCAACTGCAAAACTGTAAGTTTGCTTTTTTATCATTAGAAAAGTGTCAAAGTATTTAGAAATATTTAAATCATCTTTAGTAAGCTTTTATTCACAATTTGGTGATGCTTCGTCATAATATATTCGACTTCAGAAACCCTGAAACCTGTAAAAACGCGCCTTGAACGATTGAATTGTTTGATGTATCTTTCAGCATGAATAACACAGACATGTAAAACAATAATATGTATCTTCCAAAATAAGTTGCTCGTATCGTTCTTTCCATCCAGTACACCCGTGAAGATCCAGGGTAGAATAAGTCTTCGGCAACCAATGCTTACCGTAAAAGGCGACTGTACTTGTCGTAAGAGGCGATTAACCGGATCGGGTGGTCAGGCTCGCTGCCATGGTTGATGAATGTCATCATATACCAATTGCGTGGATCGATGCTTATGATGTTAGAAACTGGATGTATGATCCAGACTCGATTATTTACAGATAACCCCAGTATAGCTGGAATATTGCTGAGTGCGGCGTTAAACAACAAACACACACAGACATCCATCCAGTAGGTGAACAAAGGCTCAGGCAAACGTTGTTTCGTGAAGTAGTAATTATAAAAACGTGTATCCCCAACTTGTTAAGCTTTCAAAACTGTTTATAACACCCAAATGTAACAAGCAGCATAAACAATGTTGTAGCTTTATGTACGTGCGCACACTTGTTTAGGAATTACATTTATACAGATATACATCGCTATCAAAATCGCCATCTGGATATATAACTTTCTGTATCAATTTGTGTGCACATTCGTTTCAAAACTGATCTTGTTTTCTGTCATCCTTGCATCAAAATAATTGTGTTTTTCCTCGCCTTGCTTAAGTCACATAGTTAGGCAACGGTTGACTATACGAAGATGAAGCCACTCCTGGTCTTCCTGCTGCTGCAGGCGTACTCTGGACGTATCCTTGCTGAAAGAAGACGTGTTTCATTCCGGAGTTGCCCGTTCACAAGAACAAACAGTGACGTTTTGACAACCAACTCCTACTGCAAGATTCCAGGTGGCTACACGTGTCAGCTGAGTCGGTTTTACACAGAGGGAAACTGTTCAGGGTCACCAACTACTGCTGACTGCGGCCAAACGGCAATAGTAAGTAGGTTTGATTTATGTGATAAATGTAAATTCTAAGGTCAACATTATTCATCACATACATGCCGATAGTTTTTGCGTCCACCTATTAAAATATGAAACTTTGCCTGTATCATTATCACTTACAGACATACAATGTGTCGATGGGAAGTTTATATATTGTGTGACGTATGACAGAAGCACTAAATAACATTTTGGGATTTATCTGATCAATAGTATTTTGTTTTTCTAGCGTGTTGACACGCCAAGTACATTTAATAGTTTCCTTGAATCCACGTTATCAAGAAACTAAATATGCAGAACGTGTGTAAGTGATCAGTTTTCAACAGACTATAAAGTTTTAATTGAAAGTTTACAAGATATTCGGCCATTGGAGGAGAGGTCGGTCACATGACTGCGATATTGACGTTCATACATGTATGTATGGACGACACATTTTGACGTTCATACGATTTTCATGAGACCTTTTTTTTTAAAATGACGTAAACACTGACGGACTTCTTCCACATTCCTGGGGGAACCCCTTGGAATTCCCTACCACGGATACAAACAGAAACGTTCTCTCTGATCATTTTGATCCTTTACAAACGTCAGAGTTTGACTGCATGACCGTTTACAAATAACCTCGCGACGACCTACCCTGGTGAACAAGATGAAGATGGTGATAGCTGATGGTGATATGTTTTAAATACACGTGTTGTGTCAGATGTTCCTGCAGAGCAAGTTGTGCACTCGTATATTCACTCTTGTCACCTCTTTTTTTTTACTTAATTTATTCCGCAACACAGTTGGTTGTTGTATTGCTGTTAGTGTAAACATGAAGTCACAT